GAAGGCAGTCAGTCACGTCTTGGGTCACGTCTAAAGCCAACTTATTCCATCTGAGCCACTTTACAATCTTACCCACAACCATGCAGTTTCCGTTTAAATGACTTCTGATGACGAGAAAGACTGTGGTGAATCTGAGGCACAATCGTACGTGTTCCCACGAAGCCAATAAGGGATACGGAACGGATCCGAGTGACAGTCATAGTCTTTATTATTTAGAGAAATGTGTCAGAGACCGACAAAACAGGGCCAACAAAATACCTTTTGGCGGCGCACTGGTTTCGTACACAGAAGGCCATTTCCGTTCGTAGCCCTGACGGTGAAAATGTGGTAGGCAAATGCCCCCTGCGGGGATTCGCAAAGTAACTAGTGTCACGGCTGAACGGGCCTAAATGGTGAACGAATCGAATCGACATGGTGGAGGGCAGAAGTCCTTTCACACGCCTAATCCGTGTTCAGTCGACGCAGCAACCGCGGTGATCAGCTTATCCGGATTATCCGGTGCGTGACGGTCGCCTGCTGGGCGGGTCGGCGACGAAAGGCACAGAAATATGTATCATGGCTAGGAACGATTTCCGAAACGAGTTATTAGAAACGGCAAAAACCTCCGACACGCTTCCGCATATGGCTTGACCATTTAAAGGCGTTGTCTCCGTCGTTGCTATTATTTGCAGTCGTGGCATTGCCGTCTAAAGCGGAATCGAGTTTGAGGTTCGATCGAAGTTGTCTCGGTCTGTTGACTCATGCTTTAACGGCGTAATGGCTTAGGCTAGGCAGCTGATGCCGCGTCGTCAGGTAAGTCATGGCACAAAACGCCACAACGCAATTGCTTGACGACTGGACACTGTAGGAAGCGGACGACAATATACTGTATAAACTCTGCAGAGTCTTTTTATGAGGACATTCGCAAAGTTGTCTGCTCTTTTGTCCGTCATCATACTTACGTTATATTCCGACTTACTGATCCGCATTTGTCATTGATCCCTCTGCTACCTCAGCCCCTTTCTGTCTTGCATTGCAAGTGAAATACACGAATTTCAAGGCAACTGTAATTACTCCTGATGCGTGACTAAACAAAGCTGGTGCAATTTTTCCCTTATTCAAAATAAATATAAATTCTAACTTCTTTTTATTCTTAGTTTTTTTATCTTCACAATCCGCCGTATATGTGGAATGCATTGTTCGAGCACTCCAGAACATACTCATAAATGTACCTTCATAAGCAGTTCTCCAACGCATTTTAAAAGTATTGTAGGTCTTCAAGTACAATAAAATCATGAACTATTTCAATCGTCACCTAGATATCAGAGTCAAGGAAGCGGTGCGAGAAATCGAGATGGAGGAATTTGGCGCTTACCGAGAAGACTGTGAAATATGAGCCTATTTTCATGAGTCTTCGTTTTCACCGATAAAGCATGGAACGTTCCGTTTCACAACCGCAAATGTTGGGGGTGGAAGCAGGCAAATATTAGGGTGGCTTTAGGTTACGAAATAGAAACATACTTGCGGCATGGAACTCGTATTTCATACCCATTTTGTACCCTTGTTTATCAAAAATATCTTCTAATATAATATCAGCTTTGTTTAAGCATTGTACTCACTCCTGATAACTCATCTCAGAAAGGTCCATTTCAGAAGCTTGTACGTGTATGAAGGAAGTTTGGATGATAATAATGACGGTACAGTTGTCAAG